AAAAAAAACAATTCAGTATCTATTGGTACATTATTCCTCAAATTATCTCAGCATACAAACACTCTTAATTTTCAGTCAAATGGAAACATGCTCCAGCAGGCATGTGTCACAGTCTTGTGTGCAGTTACCGGAAGAATGGCAGAGCCCTCTTCTCTGTATACTGATGGAAAACATATCGTTTTATGAATTTTCCCCTCACCGCCCCTGTATCATAATCTCTTCTCCATGGCAGTGTAATGCCTGGCTCCATCCTCCTTGAAATGATGTCTAATTTAGACCTGATAATTGCAGGATAAACTTAAGTATAAATAGCCACCATATGACAAAGTGTCATCTTTATGGAAGATATAAAAAGTTGTAAGACACGGAAGGTATGGCAGGTGCAAGAAAGCATTAATTTAGTCGGCAGTGATAAGCAACTGTACACCATGTTCTGTATTAGCAGTGCCATTTTTAGTGTTATTCCAACATCTGAAAATATTAATTTTTTTCCTAACAAATGTCACCTTGTATTATTTATAAAATAATGTCAGTGTTAGAACTCTTCAAAAGTATTGTTCTGTGGCTTATGTGCTAAATTTTACTTACTAATTTTAAGAACACCCTATTCTTTTTTATTAATCCAAAATGTGTAAATTTGAATACTAATTGCTATTAACACTCAGGAATATAAATATTTTTAGTGTGGGTTTTCTTCTTGGTTAACCGTAAATCCAGAGCCCAGTTCCCAGAACAGAAGGAGAGAAGTGAGGTAGTTTGTCGGAGTGCCATGTCCCTGGATCCTGTGGTATATACTATACCCCTGGACTATACTGCTGCTCTCCACCTGCAGACACCTTTTACAGGTACATTCCTGTCAAAGCTGCTGTCTCCGTTTTTCTCTTCCCGCCAGTTTTGTCCCCTTTCTTCCTGTAGAGCCCTTGAGGAAAGGGCGAAAGTTTGACCAGATGGATACACTGGTGGATAGCTGTTGTATTTCTCTTCCCAGGGTCCATTTCCTGTCTCTGGTAATAGATTCCTCCTCCTAATGGAAATCCACTCTATGAGGTTCAAGGCAAACTACCCTTCCCCAGCCCCTCCCTGCTAGTACACACATGGGGCTGGATGGGGGGCACATAAACCAGGTCCGGCCAGTTGGAGTACTGCATCCCCCGGTAACAGTGATTGATGCAGGGATGGGGCAGTTGGAATCCCTTCCTTGGATGTGTGGGTGCTGGAAAAGAGAGGGTCCCTCTGTTCCTTGGGTATCATGAGCGATAAGGACCATATGAGCCTGGAGCTGCCAGTACCACAGAGAGAGATTTCCCGAAAATGGAGGCAACACAGAAGAACAAAGATATGAGGAGCAAAACAAAGCCCTGACATCATCATTTGAGCGTTGAATCCATTCATGTCTATCATCTGAGACACTTAGCATCCCTGAGCTACGTGGCAAACAAAGCCCCCCGTGCCTTATGCACCAGCTGCGGTGGTCCCTTCAGGTTAGAAAGTAACCAGGTCAGTCCTTTCCTGTTCCCAGTACAAACAAACCCTCACTTACAGGAGGGATCACCCAATGAGGATAAGGCAGTTCGTTTCTCAGGAATGAATACCTTCTAAGTTTGGAGAAGGAAACAAAGCCCTTGGACTGGGCCTCTCATGATGCTGGAAGACAAAGCCCTGTTTTCATCATGCTGGAATACTCAGACCCCTCCCCAGGACATAGCTGTGTCCACGTTTTATTTTGCAACAACTGATGGGAAGGAGGTGACAGTAGATGTGAGTCATGTCCTCACAATCTGTTAGATACCATGTGTCCAGATTTGTCATGTGGTGATGTGATGCGGCCCACGGGGATCTCAGAGTTGTACGACTTTAGAACTGGAAGAAACCATAGAAATACTGGAATACAATGTGCTTGCAGTGAAGCTAATGGAGAATAATAATTAGCATATTAACTAACACTTGCTGAGTATTGACTGTAGTATTGTATGAGCCCAATAATTCCAGGTGGTAGATATTCTTTCTGTCAATGTCTTATAGAGGATGCTGCAGTGCGGAAAAGATAACATCTTGCACAAGACCACACAAATCTCACCTGGAGCTGGGATTTAAAGCCAGGTAATCCAATTCCCAAGTCTGTACTAGTTTTTATCCTCCCACTTGCATCTGTTGCAACTTACCAACCTCCCGTGAACTCTGACCCTAAAAGAGCCCATCGCTTTGCATGTAATAATCACATTTTTTCCCACCTCTGACACTTACTAACACGTGACATTGGCATATTTTCGTGACATCTCTGCTTCACACAAGTAACTCGTAGGTTTGCTGAGAGTATTAACTCAGGACCTGTAAAGCACTTAGTATAGCAAAAAATGTAAGGTTTTATAATGATTAATACTATATATTGCCATAGAAGCACTGTTCTTTTTAAATCAAAAATTAGCCCATCTTTTCCTTTAGTAACTCTCAGCCTTTTTTTTTTCTTTTTTTGACACGAAGCTTGTAGGATCTTAGCTCCCTGACCAGGGATGAAACCCTGGCAGAGAAAGCGCCACTGACCACTGGACCGCCAGGGAATTCCCCATCTCTCAGGCTTAAGCTGCATATTTTCAGCCTGAATTTCAGGTTGAGGTGCGTTATGCCATAGAAATATCAAGTTTTATTGGTAATTTCAAGAATATAGGAAATCTACAACTGTGATAGAGAGACAGCTGAGACTTTAGTGTGCTTCCCTGGTCCTTCTTTTTACATCAGACGTGGACTCTCTTCCCCTAAATAATATTATTATTTAGATCACCTCGAACAGCATGGAAAGTGTATAAGTTACGAAACATATCCATTTTATACCCCACCCCAAACCATAAACCTATAGATTATAGGTTTATTCCAAGTAATCCTCTAGCCAGGGACATCCTGCTAAGGGCATTCTGTAGATAAGGTCTCTCCCACGGAGCAAAACTCATTAGTTAGCAGAGGTCCCGCTGAGAAGAAAGACATTAGGCAGAGTCACCTGGCTTCACTCTCCCCACTCCCTCCACATGGGCAGTGCGTTGATCGCAGACCAGCTATTTCAACTCTGTACTCTCCAGTTCCACTAAAGATATTAAAAGCAACTACATTAGACCCTGTAGTTTGGTCTGTGTTTTATATACATCTTTATAGCACACCTCATAATTATCAACGTCTCATCCTCTGGTATAATCCCAAGACTATACTGTTGCTAAATTATTTGATTTCCAACATATTGGCTCCCTTGACTATTTGAAACTCATATTATTTAGTAGTTGCCATGTTAGTTATCTCCAATTATTGGAATACTGTTATTTTAAATTTTCTAGTAGTTTTAAGTGTATCATAAAGACATGGATAGAGCAATTGTAAAAATGTATCTAGGTTGACGGATAGATAGACCTTTCAGAATAGGCTACATTCCACTAATTCGTGCCTCCAGTGCAATACATCATAATTAATTCTTTAGTTGCTTGTTTTTCTTAGACTGTAAGCCTCAAAAGTGTATCTGTTTTGTTTACCTGTCTATCCAGAATCTAATATGACTCCTGGCATAAATCTGAATGAACACCCTTTCAAGCACCAGTTATTGAAAAAAATTAATTATAATGTTCATTTGTTATTGTTATCACTAGTTTCCACAAACGTGGACGCTGTCCGCCAGAATGTGTAGTGCTGTAAGTTAATTACTGAGAGGAAAAGATGTCATAATGCCTACAACTTGCTGCATATTGAGTTTTCCCTCCAGTCAAGTATATTAACAATTTCCTTAAAAACTAAATTTCTAATCGTGTTCAGCATATTCCAACATTTTTACAACCAAATATATAGCATCCAGCCCAAGGAAAGGACCTTGTTTCAAATGAAAAACTATTTGCTTCTTTAGACTTTTTCCAATTCTATTTGGAAGGATCCACCAAAAATGGAGTCCTAAAACATACTTGAGCTCCAATCACTAATGAAAAATTGAGTTAGCAATTGAAGATAAATAGTAGTAAGAAATTTGCAGTTTTAAATGAGAATAGAACTTGCTAGTGTGTTGTCCCCAATTAGTAAAAGGAGTTCCCCTTTTCACTTCCCTTTCCTAAGTTTCTGTTTTTATTTACAAAAAATCTTTCTTTTGTCAAGATACTGTTTTTTAAATTGTTCTATGAGTGTTCAAATACCCTGAGGTTTAGAAACAATTCGCGGCAGTGATGTGGTTGTATTTTATTGGGAGCAGGGGGGAAGGCTGCTTGTGTTTCCAGATGAGTTTGATTTTTTCATGTTTTTATTGGTGGGACAGTTTGATTTTGAATTTTGCATATTTTTAATAGTGAAAAAGTGGCTTTTCATAGGGAACGCGGTATGTACCATTGATTCTGGGATCTTGGTAGCATTACTCTGGAAACAAGTGCATTTTCCTAAGTGATTGATAGGTTTGGGAATTTAAATCATACACGGTTTAGATTCCTACATGTTCCGTTCCTTTCCATTAATCAACAACAACATTGTCGTGGATGGAAAATTAAAGCAACAGTTTATATTTTTGAGAAACAGTGAGCATCATTCTTGCCAAAGTGCAGCATCATTGAAGCCATTAAAGAATAAATGACTGACTGAGCACAGTAATGGACTGATGTGATTTTAGGTACAGTTTTTATTTTATTGCAAGGCACACAATCATATATACAATGCATAATCATCACCTTCTAAGTACAAGACATAAAGAATATACATTAGAGTAAAGACCATATGGATATGCTTCTGTTTCAGAGAAGAAAACCGCCTTAGGGCAAGCAGGTTCATGCCCTTTTGGGAAGAGATTTTCATATTTATGCTGAATCTTCCAGGCAGCTCTTGCTTAGAAAATAAATCTACTGAGTGGACATACAATCTTGTCACATCTTAGAGCTTAAAAAGCTCTAATTTAAAGCCAGCCAATGTATTCCTTTTATTCCAGTTATTCTTATGTTCCAGTACTAGATGAAACACCTATAATTGCCTGATTAACAGTTATACAGATTTAAGAACTTTATTTCTCAGTAATGCATCATAGAATGAAACCGTTTTCTTAAGACTTCTGTGAATTTTCCTTGATTTTTTTCAAAACTGTCTTTCCAAACTATGCTTCCTTTTTAGTATTAAGCCTGGAGTTTTGACTTAAACTCTGCATAGGGGATGCATCCAGATTCATAGAGTAACACAAGACACTAACTTCTACTCTTCTTCCAGTCGGAATTATGGTTTTTCATCCTCATTGCCGCCTCCTGCACAGTTTTATTTCTCTGCATTTTTCTGACCCCCTCACTAGGTCCTGTCTTCCAGTTCTTGCCAGGGAGGGGAGAAGGGGCTCATGGAGGAAGCTGAATTCAAGGTTAGATACACGCAGTTCTGGTCCCAAAGAGACACAGTGGACAGTACACTCCTTGCCGTGATTGGAGAACAGGAACATGACGAGATGGGACACAGACACACACTCTCACACACTGTGTATGCACACAGTATCCACACATTCACACACACACACACAAAGCACGCACACATACACTCAACTCTCACACACACGCATACACACCTTTGACAAAGAAATATATTGGTGTAAGAGATATTTTTCCTAACATACATGATTCACTTCAACATCCTTTAAAGTACTGCCCTAAAATGACATAGCCGTCCTCTCCTCTTCTGGTCTGGGGACTCTGGTGCTTCCAACAATGGAGAAGCTTGGAACACCATGACCTCACGGGCACTGAGAGCTGTTTCTCTCTCTCCTGGGGCTGCAAACTTAGACACGAAGAGATGCAGGATGCTCAGGCTAACCTTTAGGCTGCAATAGTGGCAAGATGCTATGAGGGTATGTGGAGTGTGAATTTAAAGAGATTGTCGTATTTCCCACAGCAGGGTTTGTTCCTGGAACCCTCCATTTAAATATCCCTCTCATATGATGGCCAAAATTTTTAACCATGGGATGAATGTCAACCAGTATTTAAGCCATTCCTACGTACTTTTAGCTATAAGAATACAAGGACACCTAAGAAAATCAATGAAATGTAGGAAATGCTCAAAAGAACACTTCATTTTCATCAGGGAAAACCTTGCCCCACTGCCTTCACTCAGCTGTGCTAGGTGCCATGAAAATCTGCAAAGTAGACAAACAACACCACAGTAAAATTCTGAAACCACGTACAAACTCTTCCATGCAGGGTATGTTTCCAAAAGGAGAGAGTACACACACAGGAGAGAAAGTACTCAGTGAACAGAACTTTTCGATGTAGTGATGTCGGGAGTTATATAGTCTATACATTTGATTTTCCTGTAAATCCCACAGGATGCTGCCCTAATAACATACAGGCTTAAAGAAGAGATGGGTGTTATTTCTAAATTAGCCCTTTCTTCTGCCCAGGCAAGTTGCAGAAAAAGCCATTACCTTGAAACCATACGTTCCAGGGGAAAGAAAGAGGAATGTATATGTCATCTGGAAGTTTTAGCAAAATCACCCTAAATGTGCTGCCCGTTGGCATTGTCCTCAGCAGGTGTGCTCCTCACGCAGCGTGGTGCCAGGTATGTCCAAGCACCACGAGCGACATGATGTCCTCATTCAGCCCACAATTAGGATCAATTTTACTTCTCGCTGAAAGCCACAAAATAGTACCTCAAGATTCACATGAGCAAGACGCCCTCCTTCCATGAATAGAGAGAAGCTGGTACCAGCGATACATTCATAAAGAGATGCTGCTTATGAGCTAGATTCTGCCAAGGCTACAACCTGGGAGCGAGTTAAGCATTTCCTGATTCATTAACACATGAGTTCTGGGCTCAGAACACCCATTACAGGGCTAACGGGCGCTCAGGGAGTCGTGGCGCCATGACTGATCCTCAGACAGAAGCTTATGCAGCAGGAAAATACCTCGGCATCAACCCTGAACGACTTGGGATCTCATCAGCGTGCCCTCGGGAAACCACCTGGCGGGGAGGCAAGCCCATTCCTTATTTGTACGTACACTGCTATTTACAGATGAAACTCTATGTATAGTTGGTGGTATTTAAACCACTTTGTGTCTCTTGACACCAGGACATGCTTTATCATGAGGTTATTTATCTGAATAGCACGCTAAAAACAAAGAAACCATAGCTTTTCAAGAGGTTAAACGATAACCACCTTTTGCACGTTTAAATGACTTTGTAAACATCAGGACAGTTTCCTACTACATGTGAACAGCAGACGCCCCAGGTGTGGGTGTCTTAAGCGGAACTCCTCACCCTGCAGCCACAGGAGATGCGTGTCCACACGGCGGTAAGCGAGCTGGGCACGGGCCCTGGACACGGTTTTCCTTCTTAATGAGGTTGCTGCTGTCAGTGTTAAGCATCCGGATTGGATGCCCACTAAGCTCTGAAACCACTTTCCTTTTCTTTTCTTTTTTCCTAAACAGAGCTTTGGACTCCACGTTGCATAGGAAGGTCACAGCAGATGGGTCCTGAACGAGATCTAGGCAACCGGAAGGAAAAGGCTCGTTTCTTGGTCCCTCAAAGGAACTGGGAGTCGGCCTCGCTTCCCCTCCCTAGACAGGGGCTGCATCTCCTTGCTCAGACCTCTTGCGCTCTGTCCACACAGCCTTGATGTCTCCACTGACCTGGGTCGCTAATGCAGCCTGCATCTCACCACCTCGGACCATGAGATTTCTGAAAGTTTGTTAAAACTGCTGCCCTTCCAGCTCAGACTGCAGTAGTAATCTGAGTTAAACCTAGATCGTTGAACTCCTCTCTACCCGGAGAACTACAGGACGACATCTCCATGACTAGTCATACTGGTTTATTTATCCCATCAGCATCCCTCAGGTGGGCAGGATCCTGAACGGTGTTTCTGACTCTGTCAGTGCCCTGGCGCTCCATCCTCATCTTAATTGGAAAGCAGAAGTCCCTGAAACACCGCTTGAAGTTTTCATCGAGAAACGCATAGAGAATGGGGTTCAGGCTGCTGTTGGTGTAGCCTAAGGCGATACAGAAGTAATAGCTGGAGAGCGCAGCCGTGCTGTAGGAGCTGCTGCCCAGAGCCTCCACGAGGATGAAGATGTGGATGGGGGTCCAGCAGATGACGAAGACCGCCACCACCACCAGGACAAGCCTGGTGATGCGACGGAGGTTGCGGTCTTTCTCTCGGGAGCCGGAAAGGAGCCGGACGCTTTTTAAGCGCAGGATCATGAGGGTGTAGCAGACCGTGATGATGAAGACGGGGATCACGAAGGCAAAGACGAAGACACAGATCTTCATGACGAGGTCCCACCAGGAGTAGTCGTCATCCGGGAACTGCAAGGAGCACTCGACGACGTCCATGTCTGCAGGAGGTGACAAAGCAAAGCCACGAAAGGAACATCAGTGGTTAGCTCTCCCCTGCAATTTATATAGTGCCTTCGGTTGCAAAGGTCCAGTCACGGTGAGACGCTATTACCTGAAGCAGATCACCAGTTAGGAGTGAATGCCATGCATATTAACCGTGCTATCTTTGCACGTAGAACAATGGAGCTGGAAGGTCACCATCCACTGCTAACAAACACAATGCTACAGAATAAATACGATTAGCCAGCAATACGAATTATCGCGTTGTGGAATGGGCTGACGCGGAGGATTCTCAGAAGAGCTAAACTGTTCACTTATCGCATGAGTACTTATTTGCATTTCCATACATTAACAATTCTCCCAGATTAAAGGCTCTGACAATAAAAGCTAGTATCTATTTGTAATAAATGATTAAATATTTCAAATCTAGCCATTCAATTTAACAAAAGCCAACTTGTCCAAAAAACATTAAGTGGCTTACAAGAAATCACTATGTGGGTCGATAAAAATTTAAACAAAATTTGTCTAAATATGACCCAGCTGTTCTGATTTAATGGAACCAGCGGTGGTCACTGTGATTGAGAGCATTGTTGAAACATGAGTAAACTTTTGAAGAAGAAAGAGACGGAGGAGGACGAAAAGGAGGAGAAGAAAATGGAAGAGGGGAGGAGAGAAAGAAGGAAGAGAGTCACCGTCATCACCGTCATCAAGGAAGTTCATAAATCAGACACGTTTTTTACTTTTGTCAACGTTGACTATGTAACAGGTGAAACGACTATGTTTATAGGATTACTTAGAAAATGGCTTTATTTGCTCTGCTTCTCTTTGCTGGACAGTATTCTCTTTGGAGTGACCATAATATTAGAAAGAGCAGAGACCCAGGATAAGAACATTTTATAATACAGAACTCCCACTGGGGGCCCGCTTACCCCTCCCAGGCTCCCTTTTCCCCAAGCATCAGCCACTGAGCACGGAGCAGGCTAAAGTCTCTTTGTCCTGATTCTTCTTTAGATAAAGGAATCATGAACAATACTAAGTTGTAATTTTTAGAATGAAAATATTTTCTTCTGACACTGGAAAATCCGCTTCGAAAAATAGTATAAGAATATTTTTCAAATAGTGAAAGGGCTCTAATAGTAGTGTTTTCTAAAACATCTTCATGCACCCTTAATCGTATATCCCTTAGTAAAACAAAATCTTAGAATTTCGATTAGACAGACTTTAAAACACAGAGAGTATAATCATTTTGGCCAATTAATAGAGATGACTATCTTAGAGTCATTTTCTATCAACTAAATACCATATCAAACCTTTCAATAGTAAATGAAAACTCCCAGAAGAACTTGTAATTTTTGATTCCCTAAAAAAGCCATTGTCCAAAGTACCATTACTAGGAAGACTCCAAGAAACAAACAAGGATCTCTCTTATTTTTGGCTTTAGTGTTTATGGAAATAAGACCAAAGTCATTTTTTAAAAATCATCACTATCACCATAGAAGAAATGCATTTATTCAACACCTTTTTAGGGTGGCACGTTGCCACCTGGCTTCCTTGAAGGTTGTTTCTTTCCTGCTTAACTTCTGTGTGTTCCAACAGTGCCTCCTTCTTGTGGCTGGCCTCAGCTTAGACGTCACCTTAGAGACATTTATACAGAGGCTGACCCATGTGAATAGACCTCTTCCCTGCAATTTATATTTTCTATATATTATACTTATTCTACTTTTATCATTGTATAATAACAGAAGCTAGACAGAAACCAGACAGAAGCTCTTCGGTAATGATGTGTTGCCTTTCCTAACGTTTCTCTCTCCATCCAGAATGTAAACTACCTGAGGGTAGGTAACAATCCACCTTGAATAATATTCAGTCCCTGCCACATAGGGAGGCAGGAATACCTGGTGTTTGAGGAGAATAATTTGCTAAATAAACAAATTAATACCACAAGGAAACTCTTGAATGAAAATATGGACTCAGTACAGTAGTTATTGTGGAAGAGTAACCTGTTAAGATAAGCAAGGCAACGTAAGGGCTGACGTTTATAATTTGGAGACATCTTTTAGCTCTGAGGACCAGCTTCCTCTCGCATGTAGTAGGAGCTCAAAAAAGGTTTAATGAATGGGTGAAACAATCAACTGCAAGACTTTTACAGGACTTTGGAAAACATCCAGTGATAGAGTCGTAAATATCCTCGGGAACCTCCATGAAGCTGAACTTATACCTACAAGGGGAAAGGAGAATACTGAGGCGATCACCAAGGAAATCCAAGCCCAAGCACCCATTCTTATTAAATGTTTGATTTCAGGAAAACAGAGTGCATCTTTATCTTTAAAGACATATCTAGGCTGAAAGTGAAGGGACAGAAAAAGATATTCACTGAAAGTAGAAACCAAAAGAGAGCAGAGGAGTAGCTAGCTATACTTACATCAGACAAAACAGCCTTCGAGTTAAAAACTGTTACAAGAGGCGATTTTATATAATGATAAAAGGGTCAATTCATCAAGAGGATAAACAATTGTAAATATATATGCACCCAACACTGGAGCACCTAAATATATAAATTATATATAAACAGAACTGAAGGGAGGCATAGACAGCGATACAATAATAGTAGGGGACTACAACATCCCACTTTCAACAATGGGTAGATTATCTACATAGAAAATCAGTAAAGAAATGGCAGACTTGAACTCAACAGATATACACAAAACATTTCACTCAAGAGCAGCAGAACAGGGGCTTCCCTGGTGGTGCAGTGGTTAAGAATCCACCTGCCAATGCAGGGGACACGGGTTCGAGCCCTGGTCCGGGAAGATCCCACATGCCATGGAGCAGCTAGGCCCGTGTGCCACAACTGCTGAGCCTGCGCTCTAGAGCCCGCAAGCCACAACTACTGAGCCCGCGAGCCACAGCTACTGAGCCAGTGCGCCTAGAGCTGTGCTCCGCAACAAGAGAAGCCACCGCAATGAGAAGCCCATGCACCGCAACGAAGAGCAGCCCCCACTCGCCACAACTAGAGAAAGCCCGCACGCAGCAACGAAGACCCAACGCAGCCAAAAAAAAAAAAAAAGCCAATGCCAATCAGCTCTGATACAGTGTGTGGAGATCACCTAAAGTACTCTTCTTGGTCACCCAGGAGTCTTGACATGCAGTGTGAAGCACGCTAGCCGGTCTGGAGACAATCTTTCATCACATAAACAAAGCATGCTTCACAAAATAAAAGACACACGGAAAGGATGGAGCCCTCCTACAAGACTACTCTTCTCTCATTTCTTCCTCTGTTAGTTTTGCCACACAAACTAACCTTCTGCTGACACTGGGGACTCTTTTCTGCCATTGCATCTGCACTCGTCCATCTCCAGCACCTCCTTCCTGGAAAACCCACATCCATCTTCATTTCCTTTCAAAAACCTAACTGAAATCCATTTCTTCTAGAATGTCATTTTCTGACAATGATTACAGGAGTTGTGGTTAAGTCGACAAGTAGAACATAACTATTTACAAGTATAACTGTAAAAATCAATTCTTTGTTTGCCCTGGGAAAAAACCACCCATCTTCTTACGCTATTCAGCCCATCGTTCTCACCCTCCCAGTGCATATGCAGCATCTCCTCTTGAATCTAAGTTATTACGCACCAACCCCCAGGGCTCAGGAGAGTTTCCTGCAATTTTATTTCATGTGTTGTGTGTATGAAGAAACAAAATCCCGAGTGTAATTGATCATATTTTAAAGTGCTTCTCTGGTAAAGTTTGGCTTTTCTTAAAATTTACCAAGTATTATAGCTTAACACTTGCAGTGCTTATGCTGTAAACTCATTTTGTAGTTTAAGAGGAAAAAGATTATGCTTCATTTAAAAATGTATACCATGCAGGATAAGCTATGATTTTAGCACCTGCCTTTTCACTGCGACCTGGAAGGTCCCTACTTATCTGTACTCACAGGTGTCGTGAGCCCGCAAAATAAACTGGAGCATTTAGACAACTGCTAAAGCGATAAATAGCATTTATAAAGTCCAAAGTGATCATTCTGCTCCCCCACCCCAATGAATTTCTATTAAGACCAAAGATATTTTCACAGCTTTATCTTCTATAAGTAAAGCTAAGCTCCTAGAGCGGTAGTTCTCACCTTGGCTACAGGTCAGAGTCACCTGGGGAGATCTTAAACATTTTGACGCCCAAACTGTGCCTCAGGTCAATTAAACCGGACCCTCCAGAGTGGGACCAGGCAGCAGTATTTTCTAACGTACCCAGGTGATTCCAACACACATCCCAGGGTCAGGACCACTGTCCTAGAAATACAGGGAAAACATCAAATGTCCTGTTTGCATGGGGTAGAAAGTAACGAGTCCAAAATCTGATGGTTTTGCTTCTCTGGACTACCATCCATCTGTGAACCTAATTTTGAATGGCCTACGCCCACATGAAGCTGCCACGATAGTGGCCCGGAGGTTAACCCCTAAGGACAAAGAGTAAACAGTCAGCATGACTCTAATGACTCAGGGTGCTTTTGGGGAGGAAGGAGCGGAGCAAGGAGGTGTATCTTAGAATTGCCAGGACGCAACAAATTGTATTTTAAAAACCCACATGACTGTGGTTCCTTATTTCATCCCCACCCCTCCAGATTCCAGTAAGCGCTTTCTGAATAGGGGATAGGTTGGGTGTCTGTGTTCCGGTCATGCCATTATCCCATCCTATGTTTAGATGTGGAAAGGAACACAAAACTGTTTTATTTCTCATCTTCCGTGGATTTAGCATTATATTTCCGTTGGCATTTGGCTTTTCTTCTAGCTATGTGGCCTACTCCCTCCCACATTAAGAGTTTGTGTAATTAGAAGTTATATTCTAAAAAATGAAACGATTTAACCGAATCACTTTGCTGAACACCTGAAACTGACACAACATTGTAGATCAACTCTGCGTCAATAAAAACTTATTTCTTTTATGGACAATGATAAAATCAACATTTTTTAATGAAATTTAAAAAGCCGCCCTTACCTTCCCTGACTCTGGTTCCTCCAAGGACTATGGCCGAGATGCCAACAGATGAAGACAGGATCCAAATACAGATGTTGATGACCTTTGCCTTCAGGGGCGTGCGGAAGTCGAGAGCCTTGACCGGGTGGCACACAGCAATGTATCGGTCCACGCTCATCATGGTCAAGGTGAAGATGCTGGTGAACATGTTGTAGTAGTCGATGGAGATGACGATCTTGCACAGCACATCCCCGAAGGGCCAGGAGTTCATCAGATAGACCGTGCTCTGGAAGGGCATGGTCGTGGTAACCAAAGCATCTGCCAAAGCCAGGTTAAATATGTAGATGTTGGTTGCTGTCTTCATCTTTGTGTACCTAAGAGACAAGCAACAAGATTATTTCTCTCCATCTTCCTGTCATACCCATGATGTAAATGTGCCGCTGGGTTACTGAATTTGTTTTTCATTCACTTATTCTTTACGTATTTATCATCTAGCATGTAAAAGGACTGTTCTAGACATTAGGGGTAGTAGAAAAATGGGCAAACATTTCTGACTTTATTTAGCTTTGTTCCAAAATCTATTTAATTTTAAAAGGGTAAGGAAACGAGTATAGACAGACAGATGAACATACATATAGATCTTTTCAACAGACTTGCGTATGATACAGGTCTTTATTTTGTGACTGACGATTCATTTTCATCCTACCCAGAACTGCTTGGCTTTGTTCATTTTTTAATGCTTTCTTTTTTTTCACTGTGTGAAACAAAGATAAAACATACGCAACTTTTCCTCGAGGAAGGTTTACCCAACTTTACTTTGAGAAATCACTCTTTGTAATTATGTCTTTTAAAATGGTTTTTAGTTTTAAATACATTCAATTTCAATGACTACAACACAACCGAGTGTTGATTTTTGTCTACCACTGTCCCACTAGCTTTTCATTTTAAATGCATTATGTAAAAACAGCAGGCTGAGTTCTTCCCTTATACACAGTATAGCATAAAACATAATCTGGTACGGTAGGTGAGAAAGAAATCTGTTTTCCTTTACTTTCATCTTGAGAGATTTATAAAGCACACAATGTGTTTCATTTTCCAATTGAGGGAACAAAAAATTTCAAAATAGGTCAGAAACATTGCTTTTCAGCCCAAACTATTTCTTTCAGTTTTAACACGAAGCTTAGAACAATTCCATTTTCTACTAAAACTGAATTAAGAAGACTGTTTTACTTAGAGAACGCTTCCTTAGAGACCTGCAGGGCATGAAATGCACCAAAGTACATCAGCGGGTTTTCTGAGGCCAAATGCTAAAATATGTTGGGAAAATCCATATATTAATTACTTTCTACACACCTCACATTTGTGGACCTAATCGCAATGAATTCAGCCAGGTCCCATGTACCTACAAGGAGCCAGACATCAATGTTAGGGCCTTGACTTTAATTATAAAGCTTCTTTGTAAGGAGCCAATTACGGAAAACTACTTCTACTTCGGCTATAAAGTCAATATCAGTGGTATTTACTGATCACTGTGTCTGTGCTGCTCAACGCATAAACGTCCACGTGCCATTTCTGTGACACGTGGTGACACAACAGCTTGGTCTCCCCTTTTGTAGGCACTGCGGTCTGATGTGAAGTCAGACAGTCCTGAGTCTGAACTCAGTGTACGACTTATTCTGAGTTTCAGGTCCCATGAAACAAGGACAATAAAACCGAACTGACAGGACACGAGATAAAGGCAGGAGACAACCTGACTCAAAATACGTGACACACAGGATCACACTGCACTCAGGGTCCCACCTCGGCACCAGTCTCCTTGCCTGTTTCCTCTTCCTGCCTGTGCTTGGATGAAAGCATTGTGAACACTTGTACCCAAGTCAGTATCTCTTGGCCTCCGTTTTGATGCTCTGTTAACTAAAGAGTGCCTTAATCTGGAGAGCGACAAATTTATTCTAACATATGTTTTGCTTTTACATTTTTTACTCAAATATTATTAAATGGCCCATAAGTTTTAGAAAGTGGTTGAATGTATATGCCCAAGACTCCGAGCACAGGCTTTTAAAGGCACAGATAACTAAGCAAGTGCATTTCCTGAGACAGAGACAAATGTTTCTTTTTTCTTAAAACCATTTTTTAAATTGAAGTATAGTTAATTTACAATATTGTCTTGGTTTCAGGTGTACAGCAAAGTGATTCAGTTACACCTATATATCAATACACATATACATGTATTCTTTTTCAGATTCTTTGCCATTATAGGTTATTACAAAATACTGAGTAGAGTTCTCTGTGCTATACAGTAGGCCCTTGTTGGTTACCTATTTCATATACAGTACTGTGTATCTGTTAATCCCAAACTCTTAATTTATCCCTCCTCCCACTTCCCCTTTGGTAACCATACATTTATTTTCTATGTCTGTGACTCTATTTGTTTTGTAAATAAGTTCATTTATATCGTTTTTTTAGATCCCACATATGAGTGAGATCATGTGGTATTTGTCTTTCTCTTTCTGACTTACTCTGCTTAGCATGATAATCTCTAGGTCCATCGTGTTGCTGTAAATGGCGTTATTTCATTTTTTTTTAACATCTTTATTGGAGTATAATTGCTCTACAATGGTGCGTTAGTTTCTGCTGTATAACAAAGTGAATCAGCTATACGTATACATATATCCCCATATCCCCTCCCTCTTGCGTCTCCCTCCCACCCTCCCTTTCCCACCCCTCTAGGTGGTCACAAAGCACAGAGCTGGTCTCCCTGTGCTATGTGGCTGCTTCCCACTAGCTATCTATTTTACATTTGGTAGTGTATATAAGTCCATGCCACTCTCTCACTTTGGCATTATTTCATTTTTTTTATGGCTGGGTAAATTCCATTGTATATATACACCACATCTTCTTTATCCATTCATCTGTCAGTGGACACTTAGGTTGCTTCCATGTCCTGGTTATTGTAAATAGTGCTGCAGTGAACATTAGGGTGAATGTATCTTTTCAAATTAGAGTTTTCTCTGGATATATGCCCAGGAGTGGGATTGCTGGGTCACATGGTAGTTCTATTTTTAGTTTTTTAAGGAACCTCCGTACTGTTCTCCATAGTGGCTGCACCAACTTACATTCCCACCAATGGTGTAGGAGGGTCGAGTCAAATGTTTCTAATGAATAAATGCTATCCGTTCAAATACAGTCTTCTTAAAAATATGATTCTTTGTTTGAAAAATGCATCTTACAAGCCAGGCTCCTACTCTTTCAATCCCTGATACTAGCAAAGACTTGAGTTGGCAACACCTTTGACTTCAGCGCTCGTGTTTTGTGACCTGATATCCTCCTCTTTCTTTACGAAGTTAGACTGATGTTCTCTGCCTTATACATTTAGGTGGACCTGGGTTCTAGTCCTTAGTCTTCCCTCCAACTGACAGACTTTGGAGAGATCACTGAAAACCCTGAGTTTCCGTTTCCCAACTATAGAATGGGAAACATAACACTTATCTCATGGAGTTCCTGAGATAACTAAGGGAAAGCACCTGATTTGGAGACTAGGTGTAATTTACTTCATGTTTCCAACTCCTGTCCCCTCCTCTTGTGTGGGTGGAAGCCACCAGTTACCACAGGAAGCAGAGGGGAACATAGTTTCTAGTTAACACCCCTGGTTGTATCTACCCATTCAGCGTGAATATGAAAGATAATAGTAAAAATGAAGCTTGGGACCTTAACTGCTAGAAGACCATGAATGGAATGATACATGAGTTACAATAAAACAGAATATGCATCTTTTAAGTAGCAATAAAATGCTGAATAACAACTCGCTCTGAGCTTTTCAAAAATATTTTTCATAGTTAGATGTGTGAAACTGTTTCAGGCCTGAATTTATAAAGAGTTCAAATCCTGTCATCAGATCTCAGAAAAAGAGAGATGACTAGTTACCACAGAGATGTCTACGAATTACACAGATCATAATTATACCAAGTGCAGCAAAAGTCCATGCTCCCCGAGAAACAAGCTCTGCCCAGATCCTTCATGCTGGAGCTACCGCTGTTACCACCCCAAGGGCTACAGGCACCTGCCAGAGACGTAGAGAGATGCCTGCACCCTCCTCCTGTACCCCCTGCATCCGCCAACATCCAATGTCATAGCACTGAGGTGGATCGCGGTAATGACAATAATGGTAATAACCATTTACTTCAAAATACTCCCTGTGTCAGACTCTGCTGTACATTCCACGTGCTTTATCCCACGTAGTCCTCACAGTGACTCTGTGTGGTAGGTACCAGCATTCCTACTCTAGGAATGAGGCCACTGGGAATCGCTGGAGTTCTGTACCTTTCTCAAAGTAATATGGTTATAAAAGGCGCTGCAGGAATTCAAACCCAGGGGTTTGACTTCCCCCCTGCATTTTTACATCTCCCCAGCACTTGACAATTTACAAAGCCCCGAATTTTGACTTCCACGTATCCTATGTGATTCTCACAACAACTGCCCTTCGAGTTGCCCAGGAGATTTAGGTCTTTTCTCTAATATCGCTGAAGAAAGCAGACTCAGGTGAGTAAAGCGATTTTCCTAGTGTCAGCACAGGCCGGGGCTCAGTGGGAACCTGTGGAGGAGGCAGCAGGGCACGGCCCCTCCTCCAGGGTCTGGAAGACACATGCTTCCAAGCCTACAACCCTGAAAGGGAGAACTAAGCAGGTATAATTCCAAGTGGCAGACTATGGGCTCACCGCATGGCTGTTGACAGTCTTTTAGGCGCTACACTGGACTGCATCCAGTGGCCACGGGATTAAAAGACCCCACCCCCAAAGACAGTCTGGTTGAGGCCCCTGGGTATTGTTCGCATTGAACCAAAGCACAGTAGCAGTGAGTTCTTCCAGTCACTGTGCGTCTGCTGGTGAAAGCAAACCAGTACGCTTGCTCACCGCCATCAGACGAGATTATTCTCCGTTCCGCCCACACTGCTTTCTGAGAAGCTGCAAGTATTTCCAGTAAAATGGCGCCACGGGAGTGGGACTTCTTGGCTTGTGTGGGGCGGCTGGAGGCGGGCTGGCGGGGCGGGGCTGCACTGCTGAGCGTCCAGGCGGCAGGAGCACGTGGCATTAAAAGAGCAAAGTCTGGGCTTCCCTGGTGGCGCAGTGGTTGAGAGTCCGCCTGCCGATACAGGGGACACGGGTTCGTGCCCCGGTCCGGGAACATCCCACATGCCGCGGAGCGGCTGGGCCCGTGAGCCATGGCCACTGAGCCTGCGTGTCCGGAGCCTGTGCTCCGCAACGGGAGAGGCCACAACGGTGAGAGGCCAGCGAACCGAAAAAAATACTAAAAAAAAGCAAAGTCTGCGCGCCGTCCCCACTAAACTCGGCAATGTCGCAAGCCTGCCAACGACGGT